TCGAATATATATATATAAAGAAGGAAAAGAAAATTTCTTTTTAAATGAAAGAGAATAGTTTTTTTTATATATGAAAAAAAAAATAAAACTACTATATATAATCATTGAAGTTCTATTATATATATATACTTTCTGTAAGATATTATATTGTCGTTAAAGAGATTTTGACATTTTAAAAAATGTTTTTCGTTTCCCGCAGTCTTAGAAATTGATTTCAACTGATGAATATAAATGATTATTATAAGTTTTGAAATATATAATACTCAGAAATATATATATATATATATATATGTTCGTGAAAGGATTTGTTGCCTATATACAAAATTCGTGGATAATTACAGTATTTGAATGGAAAAGAAATATTTCTTTTCAAAACGATTTATTCTTATTTCTTTTTTTTTCTCTTAATTTTATAAAGTGTATAGAAAAAAATTTTTAAAAAAAAGTAATTAAAAAATTTAATTGTCTAAAAATTCTATTTTTGTATATTTATACTTTTCTTTATACTCAGAGAAGCACGCAGAGAAATGATTTATTTGAACCAAATAAAATTATATTTGAGTTAAATAAATAACGTATATTTGTCTCAGAGCCTATTAACTTATTTATTTGGCGTAAATAAAAGTTTTATTTGTCAGAAATAAATTTTTCTTTGCCTCAAATAAATTTTTTATTTCAATGAAATAAAATATATTTGCAACAAATAAATGAGTTATAGTAGGCTCGGAGACAAATATATACCATTTCTCTGAGTGAGTGATATATATTTATTTTTAAGAGCCAAATAAATATTTATTTGTTTCAAATAAATTTTGTTTTCGTCCTAAATTTTTTTCCCCTAAATAAAATTTTATTTGTGATAAAATTAAATTTTTTGTTATAAGTTAAAACAAAATAAAAAGTTTATTATTCCTCTCGAGACAAATATATATACTTATATATTTGAATCAAGTATTTTTTTTTTATTTAATTGAAATATATATTTATTTGTTTCAAATATATTTTTATTTTCTATTAAATAAATGAAAATAAAATATTTCTCCCGGTTTATTATATATATATATATATATATATACTTAATATTGACATTAATTTTACCTTTAAAGGGATTGGAAACAATTTTTTACGGGTAATTCTCGCCCCTATATATATATATATTTGAAAAAGTATAATTCTCCTGGAATTGGCCTATAAAAACTAACATCCGGATGTCGCGCGACTTCTCTCGCGCGTTTAAACGACATTACCAGGAGATTTGTAAAGGCAAACATCGCCACGGTCGTTTATTAGATTAGTGAAGAGTGAACGTGCGCCTAAGAGAGCAAGAGAGAGAGCGAGAGAGAGAGAGAGAGAGAAATAGCATGGTAGCACTGAAAGTTGTAAATTCACGATTCTTTAATCTTGGTAAACCACCAGCCTCCATCTTTCCGCCCCCACCACCCCCCCGTACCCCTTTTGGCACAGAATAAAGGGGTTTACTCGCGGGGCCACCTTATATTGCCTTTATGGAACCAGCAGTAAATCTCGCTGACAAACAATCATAATTTTCGAAGAGCTAACACAAAAACAAGAGAGAGAGAGAGAGAGAGAGAGAGAGAGAGAGAGAGAGAGAGAGATTCTTTAAAGGAGAGCCGATGCCAACATGAAATGCGACCGCCTCCGCGCCTCCAATTGTTTCAAGAAGTTTTCTTCTCTTCGCCTCCAACCCCCCTTTTTTTGAGTCCCACGGCCGTTTTAGAGTTTTACTACCCTGTCGTTTCTCTATATTTAATAAATTCTCTCTGTCATGATATATATATATATATATATACCTCTTGATAATAAGTAATTTGTTATTTCATTATTTATTACACGCGCACACTATTTTTCAAATAATTTTGAAAATTCAATTTATCATTTCATTTTTACTATTATCAATTCTACATGGAAAAAAAAACTTTATCTATGAAACAACGATATATTTCTCTATAGAATAGTGAAAATTTTCGGTGTTTTAGTGAAACATATATATATATATATATATATACAGAAAATTAAAAGGCATTAAAATAAACTGCAACGCTTATTATTTTAATTCATTTTGGTATTAAAATAAGCAAAATTGGATTAAAATAAGAAGCGTTGCAGCTTATTTTAATGCCTTTTAATTGCAAATATATTTTATTTCATTGAAATAAAAAATTTATTTGAGCCAAAGAAAAATTTATTTCTGACAAATAAAATTTTTATTTACGTAAATAAGTTAGTAGGCTCTGAGACAAATATACGTTTATTTAACTCAAATATATTTTATTTGGTTCAAATAAATCAGTTCTCTGGGTGTATATGTGAAATTATAAATTTCTATATTTAAATGAAATATATATTTTGTATAGAATTTAAAATTGCATATATTGAATTTTTTTTTTTTTAAAACAAATATTAACATCAGTTTGAGAATAAAGATAAAGTGATTTTTTTGTTATTCTCAGATGTTTTCCAGATGTTGTTGGATTTTTCGTGAGAAACTCGAGTAAAGAATAAATTGGTCTCTTTCTGACTTTTTTTTTTTTTTTTCTTTAGGATTAAAAAAAAACCAAGTTATTTTAAAGAAATTCTTGTTCTAGGCGTATAACAGAAAAAAAACTATCAAATATCAATTAAATAAATATAAATATACATATTTATTTATTTATATTTAGTTATTTAGTAATTAAAAAAATATTCTTTCATTTCTTTCTAAAATTATAGTTTGCTATTATATTAACTAATTTTTGAGAAATAACAGATACAATGAAAAAAGAATTTATTTGATACAAATAATCGGTAACTTCTCTCAGTGAAATGTTTCATTTGAACTATAAATATAATATATTTATGCTAAATAAAAGTATATTTGTCTTAGAGCCAACTAGCTCCATTTATTTATATATATATATTTGTCGTGAATAAAAATTTTATTTATCATAATATAAAATTTTTATTTAAATTAAATAAATAATTATTTGCAACAAATAAATAATTATTTGCAAACAAATAAAATATATTTGAGTTAAATAAACGTATATATTTGTCTAAGAGCCTACTAACTTATATTTATTTGGCGTAAATAAAAGTTTTATTTGTCACAAATAAATTTTTCTTTGCCTCAAATAAATTTTTTATTTCAATGAAATAAAATATATTTGCAACAAATAAATGAGTTAGTATAGGCTCCGAGACAAATATATACCATTTCTCTGAGTGTATAGCAATAACTGTCATAAAAGCTTTTATCATAAAATTGAGCATTGTCCTCTTTTTTTTTTTTTTAATGAATTTTTGTATTTTTGCAAATTATAATTAAATACATCGAATATTGCGTAGTTTTGATCGCCTCAGGGCTATAAACCTATTCTACGAAGTCAAGAGAATCCGAGGAACGCATATAAAGCGTGACTCGGTTTTATAACTTGTATGGTTCCTGTGTGTCGTGGTAAAGCTCTCTCTCTCTCCTTCTCTCTCTCTCTCTCTCTTTGAGAGCGCGCGAGCTCTCAAGTTTTAGATAAAACGAAAAGAAGAAATCCTTGTTTTATGGCCCGTCTAGCTCTAACACAAGTCTTCTTATTATATTATAAACTATATGGGAGAAAAACAATTAAAGACCAAGTAGCTATATATATATATATATATATATATATATATATATATATATATATATATATATATGTATAAGTCGGATTGTAAGAGAGCTCTTAAAAAAATTTTACTTTTTTAGGAAATCACTTCTCTTCAAAAATTTCATATTTATGTAAGAATCTCGTAAATTTATATATAAAATTGAAGAGATGCTTATTTTTCTTTATGACGATTTTTACGACTTTTCCATGACTATTCTCAAAATGTAATAAATGTTATGAAAGTGGAATTTAAATTAATTTTTTTCCTTTAATTTCAATACAAATTTCGATAACTTTATTTTGTATTAAAAAAAATATTGATTTTTAGATAAAAATTAATTTTGTTTTTGTTGCTTAAATTTTAATTTTGAATAAATAAAAAAATAAATAATAAAAAAAATAAATAAATAAAAATAAATAATTTAAATAATTTTCTTATATATTTAATTATGGAATAATTTTTTCTCAAAAACGAAGGAAGAAAATTATATCTATATATGTGACATGAAGAGGCTTTTAAGAATTTGATATTTTTGACATTATGTAATCATTGAAAAATGTTGGTTTTTTTGTTTTAAGAAAGTTTTTTTTTTTTTTCACTTTTTTCTCAAGTCGCGCTATTAGATGACGGAAACTTTTACTACTTTACCACGTGTTAACCATTTTATGACATCATTTATATATACATGAATAAATACTCAAGATTTTGGAGCAGAGAATATTATTCAACTCTTTTGATTTTATAGATGAAAATTTTTTTTTTTTTTTTTCCGAAACAAAATTCCAATCAACACTTTTTTGTTAGATCAAATTTATATTGAATAAATTTTTTTAAAATGATTTTTATCAACATTCGAAAATAGTTTTGTCAAAATTGTTTTCCAAAAAAAAGAAACTTCACAGGAAAAACAAAGTGTTATTTTAACACCAGAATTGGTGTTAAACACGCAACAAATTTTACCCTAAATCTGAGTTAAATTTTATTACCCGCAACAAAAATAACACCAGCTTTTTTCTCTGTTTAGAAGTCATTTTATTGGGTTTAAAATCATTGGTTTTTAATAATTTAGAGAAAATTTGGCAAAAAAGTTTCAGTGATTCACAATTTGGAAAAAATAAACAAAAAAAAAAAAACATTGTTTCTAAGTAAAAGGGACTATCCATTATTTCCTTGAAAGCGCGCACGAGAAAACTGAACTAACTCGCAAACATCATCAGTTCATGCTGATGAAATCAGAAATCTTGCTAAAGAAACTCGTCATTTCTAAGAATCGCAAAAGCGCAACATATATCCTTTTCGCACCATATATATATAAAAAAAAAAAAAAAACTACTACCAACCACACGGAAACAATCACGTACCTCGCGGGAATCCCAGTTTTCACGTGGTAGCACTGCACCATAGTTTCTTCTTTGAAATTTGCACTTTTTTTTTCTATATATACACCATCTTAAATCTCTTATTTAATCAACTTTTTTTATAAAAAAAACTAGTTTTCACAATTTTTTTCCAACACTACTACTGGTTCGAATAAAATCCGAACAAACACGAGACACTTGTGGCTGGTGGGAGGGGGGGGGGGGTGGGTGTGAAGTTTTCAATAATAAAAATCCAGAGATCTAAATTCACAGCCTAAAAAACAAAATCAGTTTTTTTGAAAAAAAACACATTTTTTTATTTAATTTCAAGTTTTTGCCAATTTTCCTTTTTTCGAGGGTTGAATTTTAATTTCACTTTTGAAAAAAAAAAAAAAAAAAATTTACAACCGGAAGTGACTCGCGAGACCGGCTTTTGTATAGAAATTTTTCGACTTTCGAAGACAAGCGCGGCGACTCTCACCTTGATGGACGAGCGACGAAAGCCGAATTGTCCCGGCGGCGCAACTCGCGCGTGATCGGGGGTGACGATTCACGGGCACTTTGGTAGCCAAGAATCACACAAAGTGGGACGGCGGCACTTGGCTCGTGGGTGGGGGCAGGAGGAGGGTGCCAAAACAAAAGGTAGGGGAACACTTGTAGAAGGGGGGGGGCTCTTCGTCTAAGGAGGGACGACAATCGTTTCTCTTTCGCTACTGCAATTCAATCATTTTTTGTTTCCAAAGAGAGATGTTGTTTTATTTTCAAAATATTTTTTTTTAATTTATAAACAAGATTGACATTTTTTTAATTTTTTTTTGCAAATTTTTGCTTTGAAAAAAGAAAAAAAAATTTTTGTTTATAAATTGTTCAAAAATTGTAAATGAATTGAAAAAAAAAGAAATTTTTTTTTTAAAATAATAAATTTACAAATGAATTTGCACGTGCGCGTGGCTCGAGTAGCGCGAGATGACTGAAATTCCCCTCCATTGAAGATTTTCATGATTTTAGAGGGAGGATTATTACCCCCTCCACATAGACTGTCAGTGTTACCCCTCACGCGATTTCCCCACCAGTATTCAATGGAGGGATTTAACAGTGTATTTCCGCTCCGCCTCCTTTGTGAAACTTGGCTCTTTCTCTTCACTCGTTGCTCCCACCTTTTTTCATTCTGTCTCACTCGCTCTCATTTTGATGATGAGAACTGAGCACCGCCTTGATGTTTTTTTTTTTACCCCCCTTGTGTAAAAGACAGAAAGAGAGAGAGAGAGAAATTATTTTTAAAATCCACGTGCTTGATTTTTTTTTCTACAAGGGGGTTGGAAAGTATACATATATATATAGGGGAGAAAATTTCACCCTCTAAAATGAGAATTCAACGTCCAGTGAGACTTGCGAAAACGGGGGTGGCTTATTTTTGCTGCTACCCTTCTCAACATTGACCACTCCTACTTTTTTTTTTTTTTCTACATTTGAAAGGATGCTCTCTTCGATATATGATTGGAATGTATGTAGATTTGAATTTTGAGATATGGGTTACAAGTGTTCGTGCAGTAAATTTTATTTATTTTTGGCGGGAAAGATTGAGCTCATTTGAATTTTTTTTGATAGATGTTAACTTTCGGATTGATTATGTTTTACAAAATATGGTTTATTTAAAAATTACAGTGAGAAAAAATTTATTTTATTCAAAATAATTGACTATATATTGAAAAAAAAACTTTACAGAAAATTAAAAGGTATTAAAATAAGCTGGAACGCTTTTTATTTTAATTTAATTTTGCTTACTCTCTAAATCTGAATTAGTAAAAATGTTTACTAATTTGAATTAGTGACTCACTTTTTGCTTCTGAATTAGTAAAATTTTACTAATTATTAGTAACTTTTACTAACAATTAGTAAAATTTAACTAATTAGTAAAGTTTAACTAAAACTCACTTTTTGCTTCTCAATTAGTTAAATTTTACTAATTGTTAGTAAAAGTTACTAATAATTAGTAAAATTTTACTAATTCAGAAGCAAAAAGTGAGTCACTAATTCAAATTAGTAAACATTTTTACTAATTCAGATTTAGAGAGTATTTTAATATACCAAAATGAATTAAAATATAAGCAAAATTGGATTAAAATATAATAAGCGTTGCAGCTTATTTTAATACCTTTTAATTTTCTGTGTTTATCTGGAACACAGTGATATTTCTAGAACAGCGTAAACTTTCTATATTAGTGAAAAATCTACACGGAGAAAAAAAAGTTAGCCATATTAGCTAAAATTTAGCTATTTTAGCTAACCCTATTTGTTATTAGGACAGCAATTTTCGTTAGCTAATACAGCTAAAAATTAGCTACTATTAAAATAGTTTGCTGTAACAGCTAAATATTAGCTACTGTAGCTAAAAATTAGCTATCCATATAATAGCAAACTCATTTTTCTCCGTGTAGTGAAACTTATCGCTGTTCTAGGTAAACATTTTTTTCCATATATCATAAATAAACATTTACTTGAACCAAATATAATTTTTTCAATTTGGGTCACAAAACTACACTTCAAATAATTTTTATTTAAATAAACTATAATCAATAATTTTTTGTATTTGAAACAAATATCATTAAATTGACACAAATTGATTGAATCAAATAAAAAAAAAAATTTTAGTGCACGTATATGTTAAAAAATGATTAAAAATTTTAATTTCACAGAAAATTAAAAGGCATTAAAATAAGCTATATGCAACGCTTATTATTTTAATCCATTTTGGTATTAAAATAAGAAAAATTGGATTAAAATAATAGCAGCTTATTTTAATGCCTTTTAATTTTCTGTGTTGTTTTCAAAATTTCAAGGTATATTTCTTCTAAATATATACAGAAATTTGAAATTATTCAAATACAATTTACACACTAAAAAATAATACTTAATTTCAGTTCACTTTTGACTAAAACCGTTAACATTAGAACCATTTTTACTGAATTTCAGCCTTGAGTGTATGATTTTAAGTCCTAAAATTGACTTAATCTAGTTTTAAGATTAAAATTACACTAGTTTTAAGGCATTTTGATTTTAATGGTTTCAGTATTTGTTTTTTGTGTGTGTATATGTAATTCAAGTAAAAAATTATTTGGTTTAAGTATATATATAAATATATTTTTTTTATATGTGGCATATAAAGAAAAGATAATTTGGTTACATATTTTTTCAACTGGCATAAAATTGTTAATTTCCACCTTATTTTACACACAAAATACAAATACTGAAACCATTAACATATCTTAAAATCAAAATGCCTTAAAACTAGTGTAATTTTAATCTTAAAACTAGATTAAGTCAATTTTAGTACTTAAATTCATACACTCAAGGCTGAAATTCAGTAAAAATGCGGTTCTAATGTTAGGGGCCATTCATTAATTACGTAAGGGTCCTTAGGGGGAGGGGGGGTTTTTATAAAATCTCTACATGGTCTTACGTGGGGGGTAGAAGCTAATCTTACGTAAGATTTTGCCAAGTATTTTCCATTTGTATTGATGTAATTAATTTTTTAATTACATTAATATTGTTAAAAACTTACGTAAGAAGGGGGAGGGGGGGTCTGAAAAATCTTATGTATCCTTACATGGGGGTAGGGGGGGTCAAAATTAGCCAAAATCGTCCTTACGTAATTAATGAATGGCCCCTTAACGGTTTTAGTCAAAAGTGAACTGAAATTAAGTATTATTATTTTTTAGTGTGATAAAATTTAATGACTAATTAGCGATAAGGGAAACGAAATAAAAAAAGTCAAAAGCTTGGGGGCAACAAAAGACAATTGTGAAATTTATACTTCTATATATATCCCTAAAGCGACATATTTCACGACGGGAGTTTTTGCCAAAAAAAAATGGGTGGGGGGTAGAAATTAATTTCAATAAATCCTTTATATATACCTACCGAAATATTGTGCGAGGGCCTATATATATATATATATACAGGTAATATACCGTTTCGCTTCATCACTTCCCGTTTAGGGGGTCTTTGGGTAATTCGTAAAAACTGGAATGTGGGAAAAAGCGTTTGCGACCCGTTATACAGCGAAAGGGTTGAGATTCTAAAATGGGTCAGATTAGAGGTTCTTTACCGTTTTTTTTTTTTTTTTTTTTTCTCTCTTAAAGAGCCCTTTTAGCCTCATTCTCTAAAGTATCGCGTTTCTCAAATAGAATTTTCGAAGCTAATATATATAGAAAAAAAGATATCAATTTTTATAGGGATTAATATACCGCACTATTTCCGGGGTATATAAGATTTGGAGATAAATTGATTCTTATTTTAAGTCGAAACTTTTTTTTTCAGACAAAAAAGGGTTTTTTTTTCTCGTGGGATTCTATATAATAATAATAATAATATAAGAACTTGCACTATTAGGCGAGTCAAAATCGCAACCCTTAAATAATCCGAGAGACCACCACCGGCCGCAGGGGAGAATTTAAAAAATGTGATATTTTTGTTTTCGCGCTCAGGTACGAGATGTGCGCGTCGAATGAGAATTCAACCCTTCGGCGAGAGAAAATAATAAGAGAGACCTGCAGACAGGGAATATAAATTTCAATGCTCTCTCTCTCTCTTTCTCTCTCTCTCTCTCTCTCTCTCTCTCTCTCTCTCTCTCTCTCTCTCTCTCTCTCTCTCTCTCTCTTCGGTGCAATAATGCAAAACGCTGCGGGTATTAAAAATAGAAATTTATGTGTAACTATCAAAATGATGTAGTCTTAGAAATATGTGTTTCTTTGCGATTTTAATTTGTTGAAAGACAAATTAAATATATATCTAATTTTTTTGTCAATTCTGCGTATAATTAATTTTTTTTCTTATGCACTTTCGATAATTGATTTCTGGTTTTTACCTCTCTTTTGAAATTATAGTATAAGAATAATTCACTATAATTCAAATTAATATATCACACGAAAAAAAAGTAGAATTTTTACCCCAAAATCGGTATAAAAATTACCTGCGCAACAAATTTTATCCTAGTTGTGAGCGCCACTGTCCATGTGAATTAGCATTTGGTGAAAATTATCCGCAACAAAATTTACCCAGCGTTTTTTCTGTGATATACTCTAATTTCCACTAATTTATTTGAAACAAGTTTTTTTTTTTTTTTCAAACAAATAAATATATATATATACATACAGAAAAAACGCTGGATAAATTTTTTTGCGGGTAATTTTAACTAATCCCAGGTACCGGTAATTTTTCCTAGACTACCGGTAGTCACTACCGGTAATTCTTCCGGTACTACCGGTAATTTTTCAGGTACTACCGGTAGTCAATACCGGTAATTATTTTTTACTACCGGTAGTCACTATCGGAAATTTTTTCCGGGACTACCGGTAATTTTGATTGTAATTCCCGGAAAAATTACCGGTAATGACTACTACCGGTAGCCACTACCGGTAATTTTTCCGGGAATTACAATCAAAATTACCTGTAGTGACTACCGGTAGTCCCGGAAAAAATTACCGATAGTGACTACCGGTAGTAAAAAAAAAATTACCGGTAGTACCGGAAAAATTACCGGTAGTAACTACCGGTAGTGCCGGAAGAATTACCGGTAGTGACTACCGGTAGTCCCGGAAAAATTACCGGTAGTGGCTACCGGTAGTAGTCATTACCGGTAATTTTTCCGGGAATTACAATCAAAATTACCAGTAGTCCCGGAAA